TTTTTTCTCAACAACCTTTATTTTTTCAAAAGAATTTTTCAGTAGAATGTGTGTTTCTTTTTTTCTTCTTCTTGTTTTACAATCGATTTCTTATTGTTATATGTAACAATAATACTACTTAGACTATTCGGTTTATATCTAAATGAATAAGTTATTTATCTAAAAAAAATTGAATGAATAAATTTTGTAGGTATTATATATATATGTCAGTTTTTATGTTTTTTGTATTATATATATATTTTTAAAGTCAATTGTCAATATCGCGTGTGATTCTATCATTTGATCGGATGTGTAAGTGTTATGTGTCAGTCAATTTTTTTAACGACCTTAAAAAAAACTTAATATGTTAATAAATTACACTTTAAGGACCAATCTAAATAAAAGGAACTAAAAGGACTAAAATAAGAAAAATATTATAGTTTAGGGACTAACATATGCATTAAGCCTTAAACATAGTAAGAAACCCATATATTATACAAAAGCACTTAGTATTTATATAATGGGTAAAGTAGACTAAAGAAAACTTAACCATGCTCAAATGATTGTTTTGGTCATTGAATTTTAAAAATGATAAAGTATTGATTAAATTTATCATCTTTTTACAATTATTATAATGTTGCATTGTTCATTTTGTAACGATTTAATACATTTAATGATTATTTTAAAAAAATTAAAATTTTAGAGACTAAAATGATTAGGTATAATACCAAAATTCGCACTTAACATTTTAAAAAAAAGAATCATTTTAGTCTTTATTTTTTTTTAAAGTACTTCAACACCAAATGTTTCATTCTTTCATCAAAATGACCTTTTTAGGTGACGACCATCAATTGATTAATGTTCAAAATTTATTATTGACATGATATTTTCATGTATGTTTAATTATTGATATGATATATATAATGTCATCATTTTATTAATATGGTGTATGACAGATTATCATTTTATATCATCATTTTTATTTAGTAACAAATAATGATGTGATATATGTTATGTTGTCAATTAAACACATGTAGAAATATCATGTTGACAACATGAATCCCTGTGACTTTGGTGGTAAATGAATTGTTGTTGTTTCTTGAGATCACGGGTTTGATCTCCAAAAATGCCAAGGCTAAGAGCATTCAATGTTAAATGGTTGAAAGTTATATTTGAATAGATACTACTACGTACTTATCTTAGGTTACCAAAAAAAAAATCACTTTGACAACAAGTATTGTTTATTAATCAATTAACGATTTTCATCTAAAAAATATATTTTCATCAAAAATAAAATATTAAAGACTAAAATTCCTCATTACAGAATATAAATAAAAATGACTATTAAAAAACATTAAAGAATGAATTTTAATATTATGCCGAACAATTATTTGAGCGTAATACTTTTCTATTTAATAAAAGTAAATAAAATAGAAGGATATAATTAGTGTAGTTGGCAGCATTGCATCCAATAATGAGGGCAGATCAACTCATTTTATCAAGGTAGTATAGCTAACTTAGAATAAAAGAGCTGCAAATCTTTTTAGAGTTTCATATTCCCTTTACTCTATTTATTTATAGTATTAATTAATTTATTATCTACGAACTATGATGTTAGCCGCAAGAATCACATAAAATATTATTTTCATTTTTTTCCATAATTTCTTTTGAACATTTGCTTATCGTAGTATCAATTTATACTATAATATTATAAATATTTATAATTGAAATTGTATAAAAATCCGAACAACTCAATTCTAATTTATTAAACTAGACTCAAAAAAATTTCAAGTCAACTAAAAGTTATAAAATACGACTCGTCCACTCGAATAACTCAAAAAATTTAACTCGACTCGATCGAATGCTCATCTCATATCACGAATCAACTTGACACCAATTTATTATATAAAAAAATTATCGAATTATATATTTTTAAATGATAATAAATATTATTATAGTGATACTCTTCGAGCCATTTGCCGTGTCGAATCAAATACAAGAAAAAGAATGGGAAAAGACGATGGATTCACACACTCTCCGGGCAAACATTAACAAAGGTGAACCACTCAAAGAACCACTAATCTAATCACACACGTTCCTCCATTCAAAGGTGAAGAACATGGAAAACAAAGATTAACCCCATAAATTGGTCGAATTTAGTCCATGCACTTTTTGAATTTTGAAATTTCAGTCCTGATCCAAGCAATATACAGACAATACGACTAAATTATAGTCTCAAAACAGAGAACAAGAACCAAATCTACAACTTGTGCATTTTATAGGGACTAATAAGATAATATGACCAAAGAAAGTAAACCCAAAGGCAGCAAACCTTCCATCTTTTACTTAAATGTTTCCTCAGCAGTGAGGACCAACTACTACTATGAATTCGGTATATCATTTCCATTTCCTGTGATGAATTCTCATACTCAATACGAATTGAAATACATTTTATTTGACACTCAAAGAACCACTAATCTAATCACACACATTCATCCATTCGAAGGTGAAGAACATGCAAAACAAAGATTATAACCCCATAAATTTGGTCAAATTTAGTCCCTGCACTTTTCGAATTTTGAAATTTCAGTCTTGATGCAAGCAATATCATTGGCTTTAAAATATAAAATCGGAGAACAGGAACTGATATGACCAAAAAATACCCCCAAAGACGGCAAAATTTCCAACTTTTACTCCAATGTTTCCTCAGCAGGGAGAACCAAATACTACAATGAATTCGGAAAACCATTTCCATTTCCTGTGATTAATTCTCATACTCAGTTCGAATTAAAATACATTTCATAACTCAAAGAACCACTAATCCACTCCGAAACATTCAGCCATAGACAGAGAAAGAACATGAAAAGTAACAAAGATCGGAGATAAACTAAATAACCCCATAACTTCGCAGAATGACGATATATATTACATCCAAAGATCACAAAATTCAAATACAATCACGAATTCAAGATACCCTTTCCTTTTCTTTCCTGTGATTTCTCGAAAACCAGACAAAAAATGAGATTGAAGAAGGAAAAGAGAGAATCATACCTGAGGAGGAGTACGATGAATTTGATTTGGGTTCTGCCATAGCACCGGTAGATTCTTAGACTGGGATTCGTCTGAATGCGATGTAAAAGTTGGGATTTGATTCGATGAGCGGAGGCGCTGGCGAACAACCCCCGATGGAAATCAGAAGTTTTCTTTCGCCTCTGCCAGACTTGAACTAGTCATGGGCTGCTGCGTTGTTGGCCAACTTGAATATAATAAGGATCATTCTATCATCCACTACTCACATGTTGACAACTGTACTTTTGTGGGTCAATGATTGTTTCACATTGAAACTAAGGTAGTTATAGATAGTAAGTAGATTATGAAAACTACGGTTAGGGTTAGAGTTTAGGCATAGTATAAACGTTAGTCCCCAATATTTATCAGTGTTCATTTTAGTTTATATTCTTTTTTAACACTACGTTCTAAATATTAATTAAAATAACTTTTATTGACCTTGAGGTCGTGAGATCGAGTCTCATGGAGGGTATTTCATAATTTGAAGGTCTCATACGGAAGCTTCTTTCAACCTAGTGTTGGGGGCAACCTACTATCTTACCTCCCCTTACCCCATTACATATGAGAACAAGGGACAATCATTTTTTTTATTGAATGAGAATTATTAGTTGACTAATGGTCAATGCATGTTACTAATATGACATTTTTACTTGTACTTAATTGTTAGCATGGCACATATCACATTATTAATTTGGTTCATGTGACATATCAAATAATTATCATAAAACTTAAATGCCAAAACAAAATAAAAATAATAGTTTAAGTATTGATCATATAATTTACCCTAATTTTTTCATTAGTAATATATCAAATAAATATCATAAAAATGAGTTAATTATTTTCTAGAAATGTTACATCCTCTAGTTCAACTCTCCAGTTGCATTATTTTTGATTTTTTAAATAGACGCCTTTTTAAAATATATATAATAATTAAAAGAGATAAATCATCTTAAGACATCAAAACTTCTATACCACTCATTATATTTTAACAAAATATAATAATTAAATATTAAGTTTATTATTATATTAATTTTGTAAAATGTTACGTCACCGTCGATCATTACTAAACAAAGAAAATTTTATAGTGATTATTTTACAATTTTACTTAGTTGAGTGACAAAAAAACGAATTTATCAATAATTGAATGACTAGAACATGTAGTTTACCTGATCTTTTCTGGGTAAATTACATGATTAACTATCAGCTTTGATATGTTCTAGTATCTAAACTTTTAATTTTTAAAAATTATACTTAAGGTTTTATTTTTGTTTTATTTTAATGTCTCGACGTTAAAAACTTAAATGCATTGCATTTAAATGGTTAAATTACATCATTCATCACTCAAATATCTTCTTACTTCTATTTTGGGTACTAAAGTTTAAAAAAATTCAATTTAACTACTCAACTTTCAAATTACTCCTATTTTAATAACTCTAATTTATTTTATTAATAATTTTTGTGATATGACCATTTTTTATTATTTTATTAATATAAAAATAAAAATATAAAATAAATTTAAAAATTAGAGTGATTAAATTAGGATTAATTTGAAAGTTAAAAAATTAAATTAAAAAAAAGTAAACTTTAATTACAAAAATATGAGTGAGAATATAGCTAAGTGATTAATAATATAATTTACCTAAAGAAAACGTACCATGCAAATCACCCATTAAATTTTTAAAGACGATGTACTAAAACAAAAATAAAAACTAAACATTAATTATGATTTTAAAAAAATTAAAAGTTTTAATACTAAAATTGATAGTTCATGTACTAAACTCATAGCTTACCTGTTTTTATTCTGTTACTTTATCGTTGGACTACTGTTTTGATCCCAGGTGGACGAGTGCAATTGGTGGACTCTGCAAAAAGGATATTTTCTCTCAGAAGCCTTAAATACAAAACGACGCCGTATAAGTAACAACAAACATATAGCAAATTTCGTCTCTGTAAACCGTTTGTGACTCGAGCATTAGAACAATTTCAAAAGCTGAAACGTCACCGTCGATATGGAAAAAAATAATTAAAAAATATAAACTTTGCTGCAGCAGAGTGGCGGTTGCTGGCGGCAGTAGCGGCGGCTGCCGGAAGCAAAACATCGTGTTACGCATCGTTGAGAGAGAGAGAGAGAGATGGGGAATCCGAAGCAGAAGTGGACGGCGGAGGAAGAAGAAGCGTTGAGAGCGGGAGTAGCCAAATACGGCAAAGGGAATTGGAAACTGATACAAAGAGACCCTGAGTTAAGCCCTTTCCTCTTTGCTCGCTCCAACATTGATCTCAAGGTTCCACTCGTCAATTTTTCCTTTTGATTTTATTTTATTTTTTCACCGATTTTTCCCCTGTTTGAATATTCAGGACAAGTGGCGGAATTTGAGTGGTGTTCCCGGCGGCCATGGTTCCCGGGAAAAATCAAGATCGTCAAAGCCCAAGCCAAGCACCGACGGTCCGCTGAGCTCTGTTATTTTTAAGCAAACCGCATTGCCTAAACCACTCATTGATGATTCTTCAAAAAGCTTCACTCCAAAGTATGCAACTTTGCTCTCACTTTCCTCCCCTAAATTATCTGTAATATTCACAATGTTTGAGAACAAATCATAATGCTGTATATTTAGTTGATGCATATGATTCAGTAGAACTGAGATATGGGAGTTAATTTGCGAAATTTTAGTGAATTTCATGGGATTTAATAAAGGGGGTTTAGCCTGCGGTTTCTTCTAAAGATGTTTTCAATGGTTTACTTCTCTATTACTATCCCATTCTCCAATATCTTCGAGATAAGCATTTTGATGTATTGTTAATTTTTTCATTGTAGTCGGTACAATGAAATGATTATGGAAGCTGTATCGGCTTTGAAAGAACCAAATGGATCTGATAACAGAGCGATTGTCGACTACATTGAGGTAGGATTCTGTTTTCTCTTTTAGTCGTCATTCATGAATATTCATTCTACATGGAGAAAGGCGACTGTTTTATTAGGAAAAGTTCACATTATTTGTGAAAACGGAAGAATTAATGTGCTGCTACTTTTGTATTGTCTCTAATCATCATAAATGTTGAACTCTATTTTGAATAAACCATACATCTCATTGTTGATGATAGTACTGGATTTGAGAAACCATACATGTTGGTTTAAGGTTGTGTGTGTGTTGTATGTGCCTAATGTTGTGCTGCACTTGATAGGTTTTTCTGCCAAAGGCATTTCAAGCCTGAAATTTTCTCGGGCTAGCAACAGCCTCCATTAAGCTCCTTGCCTTTATGATATTTTTAAGACGAGTAGAAATACAAATGATGGTTAACTTAGATGTAGTATTGGAATGGCTTACGCTTGCAATTTCAAGATAGATCTCTTGGCATTTCAACTTGGTTTCTCAGTCGTGAGATTACATTATCAAAATCATGAGTATGATATTTCCTTAACATATTACGCAGCAAAGGCAAGAGGTACCTCATAGTTTTAAGAAGCAGTTATGTTCGAGGTTGAAAAGGCTGGTTGCTTTAGAGAAATTAGAAAAGGTAAATCATAAACGGTTCTATTCTTCTTTTTATTGATTGCCATTTACTAGAAACTGCTTCTGAAAGATTAATAGATGATTCATTCAGAGTAGAACTGCTTACAGCTTCCTTGAATTTCTTTGTTGCCTTGTAATATCCCCTGTATTCGGCATATCATTCTCATGATAAACAGAAAGGAACATAGGGATATCTACAACGGTTATGCTATGCTTATTGGTCATGGGAGTCGAACTAAAATGCCGTTATCACGGCAACAGTTAGCAAAAAGACCATAAGAATGACAATTTCCTACTTGTGCTTACCAAAGGAATCATTAGGGAAAAGTGTTTTTTTTTTCTGTCTTCAGGTCTTATCATGGTTTTAGCAGTTTGTTCTGTTAGGTTAACCTTATAGTATATCTGAAATCTGGAACTGGTTTTGCTTTATCTATTGTAATAATGCAGGTGCACAACCGGTACAAAATTAGAAAAGATGAGACGTTCGGAACGAAGACTCCCGCTCCAAAACGAAAAGGCATGCGGCCTAAGCAGTTCCAAAACCCCAGTCATATAACCTGTGATGCAGTTGAAGAAGCTTCAGTAACTGCTGCCTATCTTATTGCTGAAGCAGAAAATAAGTCATTTCTTGCTGCTGAAGCAGTTAAAGAGGCAGAAAGAGCCTCAAAAATGGCTGAAGATACAGATTCACTGCTACAGTTGGCCAAAGAGATTTTCGAAACATGTAATGTTGCTCCAACTCTTCATTTTTTCTCAATTACTCATTTCTTACACTTGTTTGATCCATATCCGGAAAAGGGTATAAAAATACGACTCTTCAAGAGCCATTCAAATACATAGGTATGTTTGAATCCAATACTCAATCCCGAGTCCGTGTAATAATAGGGTCATGCTTTTGTTTTATCAGGCATTATGTTCCCATTCTTAAAAATTTTGCATCTTTCATTTGTATTTTTCAGGTTCCCTAGGTGAAATTGTGCTCATAGCATAGGATATGGTAGAGATGACTCCTTCAATTAGAACATGTAAATATTGTTTTCACTTGTTTCTTTCCCAATCTGACTCGACTAATTTGTATTCGACTCGACAAACATGGTGACAGATAGTTTGGTAAAATTGAAAGTCTCGACTGACACTCTCATAGTGATTCACGAGAAAATTTCCGATGTGATTCAGAGTATTCTTCTGAGAGATCTTTCTAAGTTCTAATCCTCTATATTTTCTTATAATGTATTAATAACTTCTCCAAATTTGTAAGGCTTTTTTTTATTTAAAAAAATATTTTGGGTATAATTGTAACATATGAAGATTGAAAAAAATCAAATATATTGTTATCTATTTGCATTTAGACAACGGTCAATCTTAGTAATATAATTTAGAAAATTTATTTATTTTTTTAAAATTTTCAAAAAATCTGATAATAAAAACTTAAATTTAATTAAATTGGTCAGATATGTTTCTGAAGTTATGATAGAATCCGTTTACTTACGTAGGTGGGTACATTTTGTGCATAAACCTTTTAATTGAATGGGACATCTTTAATTACTCAAATCTTTGTTCACAGTTTTGATTCATACTGCTGATTTTAATTATTATATTTGGTAAAAAAATACAATATTGAATGCATTTAATTATAGTTTTAATCTTTTTATTATATTTAAATTTGATGATTATTTTTATTTTAATTTGATATTGTTTTAATTATTTTTTATAATATTGTTTGTAGATACAAATTGATATTATTGAATGGATGTTGGATAGATCGCATATCTTAAAAATTTTAAATTCTCATATAATTTAAATATTTTTTATATTTCCCCCAAATTTATAATATAACTTACTAATGGTATACACTTCGACATAAAATCACGTGTTCGTCTCTTACCGAAAAGAGATATCGTGGTTTAATTTTGTTGCAATTGGACCAGCTCTATAGGAGCTTACTTTATTAATTAGAAAAGAAAATGGTTGAACTGTAAAAAAAATGGACTAAACAAAAATTTCAACATGATAGAGGAAACTGAGTAACTGACCATAAATAAACCTATTCAATGACATATATATTAAGGGATTTTAAGGTTTCCGATAGCCTTTTTTCTTGATTTTAATGCTTGATTTTACGTAACGGTGACCGTTACATAAAGGTCAAAAAAAATGACGAGGATGACTAAAGAAACGGGTGTCTGTTGGGATACATGTTTTGTTTTGCTTTGTATTATTATGAGTTGTTATTTTCTTTTTTGTTGATAATATTAATTTATTAATTAAGAATATTAATAAGAATGATATTAATATTTTAAATAACAAAGTTGATATTGTACGTCACCTAGATAGATAAATAAACACATATAATTATTGATAATTAGTTAATTAATTATTTTTATATAAAATGTTGTTATTTTGATCTAAATTGATATATAAAAGACTGAAGTGTTTCAAAAAGAAAAAGATAAAAGATCAAAGTGTCTATTCTCGTAAACATTTAGGGTGAAATTCAACATTATGCCAACATTTAATTTTTTAACTGTTTTTACATGTGACAAAAGAAATGAGAGGCTAAACGGCGTACAAAATATAAATATAATGATCAAAATGATTAAAAATATAATATAAGGATTAAAGTTAAAGGTTTACTCTAATGCGAAAGCCAAAACAAATGTTAAACTTTATGAATTTTAAAAGTTATCAATAGTTAATTAGAATTTAAACTTTTATAATAAAAATGTATAAAAATCAAATTCTATAATAAATAATTATTAATCGATTTGGTGAGATAAAACATCATGTCTCTTAAATATGATTATGAATTTAAATTCTAACGTTATGAATGAGGCAAATTGAATTAAAAAGTCATCCTCGTAACAAACATTTACCAAATTTGAATTAATTGAATGATTTATATATAGAAATTAATTTGTCGAACATTTAAATTTGTTAGAATTTTCATTATTGTTATATCAAAACATTTAAGAAACAATCTCTCTCACTCTTTCTTAAGTTTTATTCCTGAAACTAAATATCAATAATTATATTAAAAAAATGCTACTAGTGTATCAAGTTATTATTACATATATGATTATATATATGTATAAAGAATAATATTAATATGAAAAGGGAGATAGAGATGAATAAGGAATCAATTAAAGGAAAAAGAAGTCATCAAGTTGCACTTGAAGTCGTAACATGATATTATACGTTTCCTTTAGAACTAAGAAAAAGGCAAATTGAAACTGCAATTGGGGTGCATTAAGAAACACGTATTTTAGGTCAATTTGACATTTTTTTTGTAAGCAAAACGGGAAACAGATCCTCACCACTTGCAATTTAGGCAAATTTAACAGAATAATTCAGACGTCAAAATTATTTTGAATTTATGATTGTTTAATTTTTTTTAAAGGATTTACTGAATATGTTATAATGATATTTCCCACCAGTTGCATTTTCTAATTCTTTTTCCACCCACAATATTTTTCTGATTTTGCCTGCAATTTGTATCCTTTTATATCATAGATATTGAAATAACTCCAATTCGACAGATATTAAAAGAATGCTTATAAATTGATATCCGAATTACACGTATTTTTAAAAAAATAATATCTAATTAGTTTCTCCTAAATCAGTTTCTAAACTTTAATTTTATTTATTATTTTAATTTTTTATTAAATTGATTTTTTAAGTTTTTTTAATTTTATTCGTTATTTTGAAATCTAATTATTTTTTTAAAAATACACACGAAGACATCATAATTGACACATGATACAATCTTATGTTATCACATCATCAAAAGCTTTTTTTTAAAAATAACACATCATCAAAAATTAACAACGTTGATGAAAGTATCAAAGTATTAGATGAAATTAAAGCTTAAAATGTACATATCAATTTATTGACGATATCTCTTAAACGATTATAATAATTTAGTAGGATAAATTACATGTTTAAAATTTAAACTATTACTTTTATTCCTTTTTGGTATTCAAATTATATATTTTAAAAAAATCATATCTGATGTTTAATTTAAGTTTGAATTTAGTATCCCGTCGTTAAAAAATTAATAGAACTACAAATATGATATTTTTATTTTTCAAAGAAGACATGACATTATCTTATGATGACACGTCAATATCACTATTAAATCTTTAGCAATGGGTGCTAAAATGAAAATTAAACTAAATATTAGGTATTGTTTTAGAAAATAAAGTTTGAGTTTCAAAATGGAACAAAAGAAATAGTTTAGGTACTAAATTTGTAATTGACCCTAGAAAAAAAATTAGCTCGAATATGACCATCCCTACACGCGGCAAAAGCTAACTTTCCATGTTCATGTTGCAACGTCTCCGTCAAAACACACAGAAATATGAGGAGCAAACTTCTAAAAGCACCGAGGCGGCTAATTTTGGCAATTTCTAACCCTCCCTCCCACCACACCGCTTTACGTAATTTTTAATTTTCCCTAAACATTTATATCACAATTTTTTGTTTTTCGAGTTTTTGATATATTGACATCGGAAACCGTTTCAACTTTCCACTCATTCATCGACACTTCGCATGATTTCGCTTGTCTTTTCGCTTTCGCACTTTTTTTTTTCAAAATTTTCGAATATTTTGTATATTTCTTTTGTAATCTTATTTGCATGAATGAATTACTTATATATACGATAATGCTTTTGATTTTATTCTGATTCGTTAAACCTTTATTCCTTCTAGATTTCTCTCTCTGTCTCTGGTTTTTGTTTAAACTTTTTTTTTTTGGAATGCCGATATCCGAGTCACCAGAGATTTCATTGAGTACGGAGACGGTGATCGGAACCTCTCATAGCGAATCAGATCTTAGCCGCTTTCAACTTCGCCGTCGAGCTTCGAACGATGCCGGTACCCGAGTTCCGGAGCGTAATGGATCCGTGAATGGCGAGGCAGTGGACGATAGAGATCGAAAGGAATCGGCCAATTTCACGAGCAACCGCGGGGAACACGTGAACGAGAATCCAACTAATTCAGATACGAGGTTCACGTATCGGCCATCTGTTCCGGCTCATTGGAGGATCAGAGAAAGCCCTCTCAGCTCTGATGCCATCTTCAAACAGGTTTCATTTACGCGTGTTTTTATTTGAGATGTTCACCCCCTCCCCGTCTGTTACGAAATTTTTTAAAATATTGTTTGACATTTTTAATTTTATAAAGGCGTTTTGTTGGTAGCGGTAGTTAGCCTAGGTTGGTAGCAGTTTATTACCAGTCTGATAGCTTAAAGGAACAGTAAAATGCTTGAATTGATGGAATTTGGTATTTCCACCTCTAATTAGTGATTTTTTAAACGTGATAGCAGAGTCATGCAGGCCTGTTTAACCTCTGTGTTGTAGTGCTTGTTGCTGTAAACAGCCGGCTTATTATTGAAAACCTGATGAAGGTATGTGTTCAAATTTTAGCTCTCTTGCTGGTAGAATATGAATTTATGATTCTCGTATTAAAGGCTTGTTATCGTGTTGTTGATAAATGCTGCAGTATGGGTGGTTGATCAGGTCTGGCTTTTGGTTTAGTTCGAGATCGTTGAGGGATTGGCCTCTTTTTATGTGCTGGTAATGCTTCTAATCCTAATTTTGGATTTTTCTAAGAATACACGAGGGCGAGGCTTGTCTTTTAGGATTACTATTTCCATTTTGGTTATTTGGGCTCGAGCATCATTTAACATGTTATCTCTGCATGCCGGTTCACATTGCAGTCTTACTCTCCCAATATTCCCACTTGCGGCCTTTGTAGTTGAAAAGTTGTTGCAAAAGAATCATATATCGGAACGTGTAAGTGGTTCAACTGTAGGCTGAGCCTATTGCTCCTCTTATTTCATTACTTAAAACTTCAAAAGGAAAAGAGCTGGCAATTAACTTCCTTCGCTTTCTAATGTTTGGTTCAGACATTGTTGAAGTATATTTGTTCTTCCAAGAGAAGAAGAGAAATTGATGTTGCAAACAGGTTGACTGCTAATTTCTATATTGCAGGCTGGTATTTGGCTTCATATACTAATTAGCACAATTGCAGTTTTATATCCAGTTATTGTTAATCTCAGGTGAACATTGTTTTACCCTTAGTTTTCAGTTGATTTTCTATTTGTTCCAAGTGTCTAGTTATCTCTTGATGGTCTACATAGCGTTGGTAGATGTTATGGTTGTCAAATTTTCCAATACTATACACACACATGCCGTACTTTTTTAATTGGGCTTAAGAGCACCAGAAATGAGCATGTATTCGACACTGTATACTCATTTTTTAAAGAAAAATGCACATGTGGCTGACCACATATACCTTCGCCTGTCTTTCCTTTCTTTTTCTGTTTAAACTTCAAAGTCCTTGTTTTTGAGGGTTTTTTTTTTACTTTTTATGTGCTTTCTGGTGCCTCATTCAGTTATCATGTTATCTAATAAATAAATAAATAAAAGGGCAGTTGTTGAAAATTCTATATAGATTGAACTTACTCTGAATTGTGCAGGTGTGATTCTGCATTCTTATCAGGCATTGCATTGATGCAATTTGCTTGCATTGTCTGGTTGAAATTGGTATCCTATGCGCATACTAATAGTGATATGAGATCAATTGCCAAGTCAGCTGAAAAGGTAGGCTATTTGCTTCTAGTAGCATGTTTGTATTCGTTGATATAAAATGAAAAATCATGCATGCTTAATGCAGACAAAGTATGTAGCTCTTTCCATCCTTCCAAAACAGTCCCTGTTTCTCTTTTTACAGCTGAATCATATGTGAAACTAATGATTTATTAGTATTGTTTTGGGGGATTGTTTGGGAATTATTACCTGGAAAATATGTAGTTGATCATAGAATGCATCTTGGACCGCATGACTATTCTTGTCAAATATTAGGTGCATGTTAATTTTCATTAGATAGAATAAGAAAATAAGTGCAGGGAGGTTTTTTCTTCTTACAGCTTTTTACCAATTTCATTTTTCAACTGAGACAAAAACTGGATAGCCAAACAATATAGGGAATTAGCTGTCTGATCTTCAGGCTGGATACAAACCTTGTTGTATTTTGGGTGGGGCTTCCCTTCCACAAGCAGGGAACCTTGTCTGCATTATTTGAAGGAAGCCCCCGAGTCAATTTTAGAGCTTCCACACTTCTTTCCATTTCTATATTTTCCCTTGTTTCAATTGATGTTATATTTCCTATTTAATTATTATTGGTTATTCAAATGATTTTGTTGATGTTAGGGAAGTGCGGCTTGCATGTATGATGTTAACTTCAAGAGTTTGGTATACTTCATGGAAGCTCCTACTTTATGTTACCAGGTAAGGATCAAATACCTTTTGCTTCCTTTTAGCGTGTTTTACTGCCCAATGAATAAGCCGGATTCTATTTTTCCATGTACACATTTAACAAAATAGGCTCTATTTTTCATTTCTTGTGTTACCATTTTTGTAATTCTGATTTATATGAGTATTAATCAACATTAATGCATAGGTTAAATAGATAATCTCTTGTTTTGAATGTTGATGAATTCCATGCAGACAAGCTATCCTCGTACTCAATCAATTAGAAAAAATTGGGTGGTTCGTCAATTTATCAAGTTAATAATATTTACGGGGCTCATGGGTTTCATAATAGAACAGGTGAGTGTCAATTCTTAAATTTATATTACTGGTTTTCATTACTCTGCCTTTTTTCCCCAACTATTCTTTTCGTCAGATGCTAATTTTTGTGTGTGTTTGTATTTAATTCCGCAGTATATCAATCCAATTGTTCAGAACTCTCAACATCCGTTGAAGGCGAACTTTTTATATGCAATAGAAAGAATTTTGAAGCTTTCAGTACCAAATTTATACGTCTGGCTCTGCATGTTCTACAGCTTTTTTCATCTCTGGTACATTTGCGGTTATTGTTTCTAGAAAGTACAGACTTCTCTTCTAACTTTAATTAAATGTTCTGAAGTATTTTATATTTTGATAGCCATAGCGGTGTCCACTTTATATGCATAACTCCATTTAATTGTTGCAAGTTGTTCATTTCTGCTTTAAACTATGTACTTGTGATTAGCTATTTGCATGATCTACAAATGACTAACGGGAATGAGGTAACTTTGATGCTAAATTAGCTCCATCTGATACCTAATCGCAGACCCCTCTCAAACACCACATCTCTTTCCTTCACAATTGTACGGGTATTAGGAAATGTCATTGATGTTATCCTTACCGTTGTGCATCTAGATTCTTCTGCAGCAATTTTGCTAGAATCTGCTCCTTAAGATGGGAAGTTAAATCAAAACATTGCTCTTGTTGTCATGTGGAACTCTTAGGCATGCACATGTATTAGGTCACATGCACAATAGACAGATATCAACCTTTTCTGACACTTAAAATTTTTTTTGGCAGCATAATATATTTATATTGCGTGCTGTATTTTACCCTTATATTTACTAATGCAGGTTAAATATATTGGCTGAGCTCCTTCGTTTTGGGGACCGAGAGTTCTATAAAGATTGGTGGAATGCAAAAACTGTTGAGGAGGTGAGTTCTAGAATCTGGAGCACCTTAAATATTTTCTTTGGCTATCGTACAAAATGCTGTGGTGAAATTCACTGTGAACTTTTTCTGTTTCTTGCATGGGCTCTGTTTATGGCTTTCATCAGTATTGGAGAATGTGGAATATGGTACATTTCATTTTACTCTTAATTGTTTCCTTTTTATTGTTACCTACTTGCTGATGCATTATAAATATGAAGTTATTGCCAGAGTTTTTGGGTCTCATTGGTTTTGCATTATAGTAGTTTGATATGGGCCAAAAAAATTTGAGTGGATTTAGATTTTATTTACTAAATAAGTTGTGACAAGGAAATGCGCAAATTAATTAAGATTCAGTATGGCTATATTTGAAAGATATGAAAAGATGAATTTCAAATTCACCCCGAAATAGATATCTAAAAAATCAGTATATTTGAAAAGTAATATCTTCACTTATCACACTGATTTTAAAATTTAAATAGCTTACCTAAAAGATTTTTTGACTTTCTTGTTTCCAATTATAGCATTCAATGTTATTGGGATCTTCTTGCATTGTCGAACCCTTTCTTTGAAAGGCTTCCGATGTGTTACCTCTATTCTCCATTCTTCTATTTTTTTCCCCCCTTTTCTCCAATTTCCTTTTTACATTAAGAAGGAAAGATTGACAATTTCCATTGCCTGATTGAATGTCAAATGATTACAGCCTGTTCATAAATGGATGGTCCGCCATCTCTATATGCCATGCTTAAGGAACGGTATACCCAAGGTGAGTTCCCGCTTCTTATGTAGCTCTAGTTTTCTACTGAGGTAAATATGACTACTTTCCATCAGGCATGCTGTTATCCTGTTGTTATTTATCCCCAATGGTTATGTTTTTAACTTCAATCTTTTCTAATACATATATATGTATATAATTTGTTTTGTTTTCCCTCATTCAGGGAGTTGCCATTCTTATTGCCTTCTTGGTTTCTGCTGTATTTCACGAGGTATGTAATTTCACCGGAGTCTTTATTCTTAACTCGTCTTGTCATTGATGGAGAAGAGAGTTGTGATTCTAGTAGTTGTTTAATTTAACTTGCATTATTGGTTATCAAATCTGCTAAGTACTACTGCTCTAGGTATGCACCAATTGTTGTCATTAGTTTTCAACACTTATTTCTCTATTGTTTTGCGGTGAAAACTTGACGAATGTTGTTATTCATTGCCATAAACAATTGCGTTTTGCCACTTTGATTTTTGCTTGTATCGTTTCGTAATTGTGTTTACTTCATTACAGCTTTGCATTGCTGTTCCTTGTCACTTGTTCAAGTTCTGGGCATTTATTGGCATCATGATTCAGGTACCGACATTCTTGTTTCTTGTATGCAAAATGAAGATCGATAATCACTCAACAACTAATATCAGACATGGGATTTATGAATACTTCTTTCTTTTCTCTTTTAATATTTTATCAGGTTCCCTTGGTCTTGATCACAAGTTACCTACAAAACAAGTTTAGGAGCTCAATGGTATGTTCCGTTTTTATTTCGGGATAATTTCTTCTGATATTCCTTAAACAATGGTCTATTTTAAATTGGTCCCAACCTTCATAATATTCTAATCGAGTCCTAAAAGTATTAGCATCATATCAGCCAAGTGTCTTTGTTAGTCTAGCCATCAGCTTTGGCGCCAAACATTAGTTTGGATTTGACATTTAACATCTTTAAGACACGCGGCGTAATAAAGAAAAATGGTGTCCCAAAATTTTAATGCTTGTTTCAGATTCAAGTTGTCTATATATTAAGTACGCTCAAGTTTAAATTTGGCTTAAGGGTGTTTGAAGCTTTCAAAATTTTGAAAAAAAAATCAATTAAATCATTGTACTTATTTGCATCCAATTGGATCTTCAAACCAAAAAATTAAATTAAGCCCTAGAACTGAGAAATTGAACAATTAAGTCCTTTGACTAATTTTGATTGTTAAATCTTAATAGTTTATTTTTGAGATATTATTGTAAGTGATATAATGTGGTTATGTCACGTAAAATTCGTAGAGTTTTTAGAATTAAAAAAATATATATTGAAATTCTTAAAAAAGTTCAAAATTAATTAATAACAAAAATTTGAATGTCACTCGATAATATCTGGGTGTGGCATGTGATTGTTTGATTTAACTGTCCATGTTGGTCAAAGGATGAATTGATGAAATTTCGGAACATATGGGTTTAGTTGGATGCAAATAACAATTCAGAGGCTTAATTGATTTTATTTTAAAAGTTTGAGGGTTTCTAGAGTTTTTAAATTTTGACCACATGTTTTGAATATGCTATAGTAAGATTCAAGTATTTAATATCCAAGCTGATATGATATTCTTACTCCGATGTTTAGTAAACTTTTATTTAGTTATTTTGATACGTGAAGTTTAACTTTTCTTCCTGGGTAATGGCAGGTGGGGAATATGATATTCTGGTTCATTTTCTGTATTCTTGGGCAGCCGACGTGTGTGCTTTTATATTATCACGATTTGATGAATCGGAAAGGAAGAGCAGATTAAACTTTACATATAATAACCCATAACAACAACACTTCAGTGATGGGAACAATTCGGTAAGATGCTAATTACCATAACAACACTTCAGTGCCTGATGGAAACTTAATTTCTTTAGCTGCTGAAGATTGGTATATATATATATATATACACCTATTCGCATGGTTAACTTTTGTTGTCCATGCTTTGGATTTTTTTGTATATTTTTTAATTTCATCATTCCACAGGTTGTCCCTATGCTGGAATGTTTGGTGTACTTTATCTGAATGAATATTTTATTAATTCCATTAAATTCATAACCAATTTAGGGGAATAATAAGAAAAAGAAAGGGAAGTAGGTAAGTTTTTTAATTATTTAGGTAAATAGGCCTAAATGAGTAGTAAATGGAAAAATCGTTTTTATTTATTCATAATTTTGTGTAAATCGTCGTTTGCTGATTTAAGTTTTGAGTTGTTTTTTATATTGAAAGCCGTTGGCAACTTATCATTATTTTGATAAAGTAGATGATCACTGTTGACGATTTTTAATAGCAAAATACGATCTCAAATTCAAATCAGCTATTTAGGAGGTATCCGTAAATTTTGGATTCAAATCAGTTTATCCATCTTAGAATAATGGTTGTACAGGTGCACAAAAAATTTGCCGATTTTGGGTAAAAAATATCCGAAATCGGATTTTAGAAAAACCGATTTTTTTTTAAACCGGATCGGATATTTAAAAACCGGATAGTATAACCGGTTTGAGAAAAAAATGAACGACCGATTTTTTTACCGGATTAAAAACCGATTTTTTTCAAACCGGATAAAAAATCGGTTTTTTATCCGGATAAAAATTGATTTTTTTAAAAAACTAGATTTTTATCCGAAAAAATCCGATTTTTTTTTAAAACCGATTTTTTGTAAACCGAAACCGGTTACACCGATTACACCATCCGACCCTCCAAACCGGTTAGGATCCGAACCGGTTTTTTTTAAATCCGGTTTTTGGGTTGAGAGAAAAAACCGGATCGATTTTTATCCGATCCGGATCGGATTAAAATCCGGCTTCTGTGCATCTCTAGTCGTACATGAGTTGACACTTATTTACGATTTATATGCTTTTTTATCAAGAATTTTCTCAATTTGCTCCCTATTGTTTTCATTCTCTTTGAATTTTAATTCGTCATGAAAATTGTCAACAGTTGTGATCGATATTACCATAAAATTCAGAACATGACGATTTTATCCCCTTTCTAAAATTACTCGCAAACATTAGCATTCTCCCCTAATTTCTTTTTACAATCATAACTCTCCCAATTTGCGTTTTCTATCAACTAGAATGCATGATAACTTTTCTTGCTTTGAATTGGATTTATTAATCCTTTGGTGAAAAAAACCATCATACAGCAAGAGACCTGCACGCCTAACCCACATGGTAACACAGCTGCATGGCGAACTGCCCACCCCGGATCCATTGTTGTAGTCGGCCAAAACCAAACATGAGCATCAAAGGAATCATCTAGCCCTATCGCCGGAACAGGAACAGTAGTCAAAGAAGACTCGAGGGAGAGCTCCTCCCAACAGGGAGAAAACAGAGAGCTGACACCACCAAACGAAGGTTACCATAAGCGGCAGCCATTCTCCTGTTGGCCAGAACCACTGTGAGAGAGGCAGCTTATTTTGTCAGGGAAGAGAGGAGAAAAGAGGTTGGATGAGAGGCTGGAAAGAAAGGTGCTGTGGAGACTAGGGTAAAACCTAGAGGAAGGGGCAGCTGCTGCGAGCAGCTCTCGACCTAAGCGCTGATCGCAAACAATGGCTTCGGCTCGTTGAGACAATGTTTGGTGAAGCTTTGTGCACAACCTTCAACTCGGACAGCAAATTACTACCTGGAGTAACGAAGAATGAAACCCTGCATTTCTAGATTCCATCAATGAAGAAAGAATCCATAAATTAGACTTCTGAGCAACAAGTACACAGACAATAGAAAGATATTATTTTTCTCAAAGAAGAAATAACCAAATGACGATTAACACCACAGAAATAGGTAGTTAAAAACTGTTTGTAAGAAAATAACCATATCATACCACAACACTTAAACTTTGACAGCCAACAACTTCAAAACCGAAGCGCTCGAATCTTAACTTCACAAGTTTCCCATCACCAGAGGATCAGAAATTTATGCTTTAGGTGAGCACTGCACCCGGTTCCAAATCAAGAGCTCCGAGTTACTCAAAAACTTGACCTCCCCCAATACTCTGTTGAAAAATGTACTAGTACATCAACCATTTCATGTTTTACAACAGTTTGTATAGCTGAGAATTTAATAATGAATTCTCTCATCACTTTCAAATTGCAGGCTCTCGATTCCTTTGAGGGCGGCTTCAAAGTTCTTGACATGAGTGGTATTTCTAGCAGACATTGTCCGCTTAGGGTCAGCAGATTCAACAGGACTTCTCTGTCGGCTTGAACTTTTTTGCAATGCTCCAGGGCTAGTATAGGCTGCATGAGAACGTTGTGGGTCGACCTCATTACCAGCAAAAGCATCACGACTGCTAGAAACAGCAACTCGCCTGGAAGAACCACCACCTGACTGCCCCACAAACTTGGTCCAAGTAAAATCCAAGTTAGTTAGCGCTTAAGAATGAAAATATTAGATGATAATAGGCTACTTCATAGGGTCAGTTCAAAACCACCAAGTATATATTGATAACAGAATTATACAGTATCTGAAGCACATATCCATCTTTCGTACAAGGCTCGTTCCATCAAACAGCTATATTCATGTTCACAATCATAAAATAAAAAGATTGCCACTCTTTTAGCACTTACAGGATCATTTGCAACTGGACTCTTCTGTTTTGCATAATTTCCAGAATTCATCAAGGGTCCCGATGTTCTCCGCTGAGAGGAATCCATGGATAACAAACCAGTGGCCCGCATGTCCTCCCCAGCTGCATGCAAGAGATGTAAATGGTATAATGCCAATTGTAACTTGATTTTTAAACAGATCAGAGATTCCATTTTCTTGTTAAATACCAAAGAGAACTTCAAAAAAAGGGGGGGGGAACAGAAAAACAATAGCATCTGTATGCACACTTTGTGTGTGCGTGTAAACACACTTGAGTAACCAACAATTCAGAACATAGATGGTTAATACTAGAGCTATTTAAGACAGATTCAATCATATGAAAGGAGCAGCAATTACCTGTGTGTCTGTCAGCATTGGCAATAGCAGGGGACATGGGAGAACTTGTTCCAGCACCAACGCCCTAACAAAGATAAGCATTACAAAAGAAGAATTCCACAATGATTACTAAAAGAAGTTAAACATCCTACTCGCACTCACAAGGGCTCGAGCTGGAGGAGTTGTCAACTGTGATTGCTGATACTTCAAAATGGTCCAATCAAAGACATAATCGAACTGGAAGCCTATTTTAGCAAGGGTAAAAACGAATACAGAACAGATGTGATGTCACACTGTAGATTAATACAAACTGACAGAATGTACTATTAAAGAAAATGTAAATTCAAACCTTCACGGATAAAAAGGTCACGGAATATTCTTTTGAGATAAGCATAGTCTGGCTTATCATCAAATCTTAGTGAACGACAATAATGGAAGTATGATGCAAATTCTGTAGGATAACCTCGACATAAGGCCTGCAACAATCACAATTTCGCACAAGAAATCAGACCTCAAAACCATACATATACCTCTTTATATTACCTCAAATTCCATTTACAGAAACTTATTGCAACTGCAAGATACAAGACCTCATTTACCTCAATTGAGGTAGAAACCTTCTTCTCACTAATTTTCTCGTATTTCTGCTTCTTATTTCCAGCTTTCAGGCCTTGCCAAGGAAGGCTGTAAAGAGAAATGGCATCAGAATCCAAAAATATCAAGGAAATTAATGCAAGACATAAAAGAAAGAATGTTGTAAAGACGGCAAGAATCACCTTCCTCTTAGGAAATACATAAGCACAAATCCGAGTGACTCTAAATCATCCCTACGGCTTTGCTCTATATGGTATAGGAGTGCCAAGAATCAAAACGAAGAAGACTTGAAGAACGGTCTACACATTAAAGAAAATACACCATAAATAAGATTGACCATACATACCAATGCCCAAGTGTGTATTCATGCTTGCATATCTTGCAGTTCCAGTCAGATTCTTATTTTCCCTGAAAGAGCCATGACCAGGTAGAATATAAGAAAATGGCTTGGCACATCGAAAACCATCAACAGAATAAATAAGCCAAAAGAATATCGAAAATAGACATGCCAGTGTAGAGTTTTTGCATCATCATTACCACCAATGTAAGTAATTTGGTGTGTGCAAAATAAATCCCAAAGAGTTGAGAGAAGAAAAATAGGGGGGTATGGAAATAAATCAGACCTTATAAAGTATATACAGATTACATGCAAGCAAAGTTCTTTCACCTGTATGGAATGTGTTGATGGGTTGAACTGTCTCTATATTTCTTAGCCAGACCATAGTCAATGACGTAGACCTATGTGAAAAATAAAAAAGCATTAACACATCAAATCTCCTGAAATATAATATATAACAAAAAAATACATAACAATATTTTGAACAGAAAACAGAAACCTGGTTCGCACGCCTCCCCAAGCCCATAAGAAAATTATCCGGCTTAATATCTCGATGTAGGAATGCTTTTGAATGAAAAAATTCAACACAGTTGATCTGGGGAGGAAAATATAAATAGTACGAAGTGAAAAGAAACTAATGGAAGAGGAAATACAGTTGCAAATGTATAAAATTCTACAAAACTACCATTTGATCTGCAAGCATGAGAACTGACTTTAATGAGAGTTTCCGACTGCAAAAGTTGAATAGATCTTCAAGACTGGGTCCAAGCAAATCGATAACCAGAACATTATAGTCTCCCTCAACTACGAACCATCTCAAATTTGGAATCCCAGCTGCCAAGACAAAAGATTGAGAAGGGGAAATTCAACAATTGCAGTCAAAAGAAACAAAATGATAAACAATAATGAACATGAAATTTAGAAACAACAACAGTTTGAAACCACCACTTCATGTTTAAGAAAGACAAAAATAATCCATATCATTACTTCCTC